ATTATTGGTTTCTTTTTATTCTTCTTTTTTAATTTCTTTATATAAAAGAAGAATATATAAGAATAAACAAAAAATAAATAATATGATATTAATACAACATTAACAACCAGATAATTATCATTAAAAAATAAAGAAATAAAATAAGAAAAATAAAAGAAAAATAAAGAGAACATATGATAAATAATAATAAAAAGATAAAAAGAAATATAAATAATAAATAATAAATATAAATAATAAGAATAAGAAACAATAAAATATAAAGATGAAATAACAAAGAAATAACAAATAACTATAAAATAAATTAAAAATAAAATAATATTAATCTTTAATTATTTTTGGTCACGAAATTATGCATTTTATTCGTATTCATCATTATATTATTATATTGATTTGTGATGTTGTTCATTATTTCTTAATTGTTGTCTAAATGTAATGAATGTCTTCATTCTTTGTTTAAAACATGGTGTTTATGATTGATAGATCATTGAAATGAATTATCATAATGCAAATTAATTCTTGTTAAATGTTTAAAATGTAAAAAATAGTAGAAAATACAATTAGATGAAAATATTTGTGATTAAATATGAGAAGAATATATTTGTATATTATTAGTTCTATTTTCTACTTCGATTTCTATATTAAATGAATATATTTGTTGATGAAATTGAAATAAAATAAATATAAAAAGAAAATGATAAAAGAAAGAATAAAGAAAATAATAAGAAAATAAATATAATGATTAATGATAAAATTAATGAGTTATTATCATGAATGAAAATTGAAGATGAACATTAAATTCATTATTATTAATTATAAATGTTTAATTTATAATACATATTAAATAGTCATTCTTTATTCTGTATTATTGTGTTGATGTTTAAATTATTCAATTTGTTATTATTATATCATCATTTCATTGACATTTGTTATTTATTATCTTTTTATTTATTTCATCATTTATCTCTTGTTTGATATGATAATATAAATAATTTACATTGTATATTATCATCATTCATCATTGATAATCATCTGTGATATAATTTAATGTTCATATCAATAAATATATCATTTAAATAAATAAATAATAACATTTGTTAACATATCATTATGACATTTCATCAATGTGATAAATGAAATATAACATATTTACACATTAATAACAATAAGATTGATATTCATATTTATATAATCATTGATATTCATAAATAACATTATAAATTTGAATTAACATAATGTTCTTCTTTATTACATTTCATAATGATATTTTCACATTAAAATAGAATTGAAGGTAAATGAAATAAAGAATAATATAAAAAGAACATATTTATGAATGAATATAATCAACAAATCAAGATACATCATACTCAAAACAACAAGAATTACAAAATGTCAACTGATTGTTATAGATTTATTATTTTACCTACATTTTATTTTATAATTTATAATTTTAAGAGAAAACAATAGAAAACAGAATATTCCATTATGCAAAAAATATAATACACTATTTTCAATTGAGCAATTTATTTAGATGCATAATTTCTTCGCTTATTTTGTTTCCCATCTTTAAATCTGTGAATGACAGAACAAATTTTGGAGAACATATCCATAAATCTGTCCAACATCGTTAATAAATGCGTGTTTAATCAAGTTACTTTGAAAGACGCTCAAAATGAGATTAAAGACATAATGAATGTTATTATTAATCAATACAAAGAGCATATCAACAAAGATGTAATGGATGAAATACTTGTTTTAACTTCAAAATTATTATATTCACAAAATATTGAATCACTGATTGTTGAATTGAATAAATTAAATGCATTACTGAGAAGAATTATAGAAAGGATGATGAATGTCTGTAAAAGAATAAATTTGTATGAACAAGTAAAATTAAGAATTATACAAAAAGAAATGTTTGCGTCAGAATTGATGGTTCCAAAAGAACTAGAATATGACAAAAGAATTGAAATATTTAAAACATATATTCACAATGATATTAAATGTCACGATGCCAATGACAAAAGTGCTGTTATTACCACCCTTAGGAAATTAATAATAATTTTATTTCTCCCCATTCATACAAAATCAACTAAAGTAAATAAAAATAATATAAAAATAGTATTTTATTGTAATCATTCAGGAAAGACAAAAGAAACATGTAAAGGAAGAGATTGTGGATATAAATTAATTGTAACATTGGGATTTGATAATGTAAACAGTGTCACAGAAATGAATGAACACAAGCATCCATTGGACTACTTCTTTGTTGTGTCAAAAACATGCCCTTTGTTAAAATCTGAGAAACATTTAATTCCAAAAACAAACAACGAAATAATCAAGTTTCTTGCAAATCATCCTCATATTCAAATTCCCCTTCGAAAATTTAGACAAATTCAGAGAGAAGAAGATAGAAATCAAATCCTTGAAAATATATTTCTTTCAGAATCATTTTTTGAAAATGATTCATTTATTAAATTAACAAACACTTTCACCAACGGTTATATTCATTCGATATTATTCATTCATAACAAAGTGAATCAAATGGAATACAGTCAAAGAAGATGGTATGTTGATGACACAGCTAAAACAAATATATATAACAAAAACTTGTATGCTGTTATTGTAAAAGACGATAATTCTTTTAACCAATTCCTATCATTTGGATATTTATTTGATCAATCCGAAAATTCGTATAAATTATTCCTCCATCAACTTCACAATATTTTAAATTATGGACCCGAAATCATCGTGTGTGATCGCAGTATTGCTCAATATAATGCTTTGAAACATGTATTTCCACATTCCAAACTATTCTTCTGCAGAATTCATATAGAAAGATCATTGATAAAATATTTTAAGAGTGATCATATAATAATGAAATTATTTCATTTAACAATGAACATGAAGTTGAACGAAGATGATTTAATTGAAACATGGAAAAGTATTGTAATGAAAAATATTAAAAACTTAGAAGAAGACACTGATGATGAAAGTAGGTACCATGATGATAACGAAAGTAGTGACGAGGAAAATGATGAGCACTTGTTCGAACCAGATACAGGTGATGTTATAAATTCAGCAGATGAACCTGACACATCACACGATAACATTCAACAAATGATGGAAGAAGCAAAGGGAATACATATCAATAAAGGACTGATGTGTATAATTGATTTAATCGAACACAAAGAAAATTGGATTCCTTCTGAATGTATCAAATATGGGATGTATCGAGATTTTACAACAAATAGAGTAGAAGGATTCTTTGGGCACTTGAAAAAAATAATTAAACATAGCCAGGTTCCTTTCTATTTATTGACAGACAACGTTTATGCACTTGGAAATACAATGTTTAATAATATAATTGGGATTGATCTTCCAGAAGAAATTATAGATAACAACGATCCTCATTTTACACTACTGAGTGAGTTTGCAAAGAAGGTCTTAAAAACACAATACAAGGTATTGACTGATCACGTAATATGTGATGAGAAACAGTATTGCATTAGCTGTCAAATAAGACATGTCAATCCTGCAGCAGCATGGCCTTGTTGTCACCTAATGAAAGAAAGAAGAAGGATGTCGTTAAAACATCTTATTAGTTATGAAGACCTTCCATCCTTTGCTTTCAAGTCAAAACAAACTAGGATAAAATGGACTGATAAATCCATTTCCAATATTGAAATGCCCACTAGCTATAGCTTGATGGGAAGTGTAATTGTGAATAAAATGAGACATAACACAAATGTACGTCCACGGAATAAAGTTGAGTTTAGGAAAAGAAAATCAAAAGAGGTGTTTTTCAATGAAATTGCACCATTTCAAATGAAGAAGTGTGTAGTGAGTGAACAGGGGAAACGTAAACAGGATGAAAGAGATAGTGAAGGAGAACACAAAATGAGGGATGATGAAGAAAATATTGAAGAACAAGGAGTGGAGGAAAGATTGCCAACAATTGATTCAGAAACTTCCAACATACAAACACCTCAAAGTGAAACATATAAGAATGAACTACGTGAATATGATAGCATGATAACAGAAGAAGAATTTGAAAAGATAATGAAAACATTTAAAGTTCCACCGAAGTGTATGGTATGTGGAATGTCCAAGAACAATAATATATATAAGTTACCACATAATATTAAAGAAAAGGAAACAATTATATTCCCATTTTTATCAAAAAATAAATATGGAATAATAGCATATGTTAAGAGAATTAACATAGCAGGGAATGAAAGGGAAGAATGTATGGTACGTATTAAATATGGAAATGTTAAATATCCTGCGTTTATGAGAGGAATGAATAGACAAATAATGAAAGTATTAGAATTAACAAATGAACCAATAATTTATTCAATAAAAATTGATGAATGTATTGAACAATTGAAGCAGAATGGTTATATAACCCTTTTCTTAATGGAAAGTTTCATAAAGAAAAGAAAGGACGATGAAATAACAGGAAAACCAAAAAAACTAAGAGAATATATTTCAATAGAAAAAATGATAGAGTCATTCAAAAATTATAAAGAAATTAACTCTAATTAATTTTCAATAACAAAATTATCTTTTTAAAGGAATAGTTGAGTAAATAGAAGTGCAATATGTTATAGAAGCAAAATATTTTGCACCCATAAAAAACGCACCAATATTCTGTTTTCAAATGGTTCCATCTTCAAACAACTAAGTTGAAGTTCTTTAATTTTCAATAATTATTGAGATATGAAGAACTATTGAAAAGATTGATAAAAATTTGGACAAAAATAATCAAAAACATTTGTGGCAATTATTCAAAATGGAAAATAATTTGCCACTGAAATGAAAAAAACAAATAAAAAAGAGATAAAAGGAAATAAAAGAATAAAAAAGAAAGAAGTTAAAAAGAGAGAATAAAGGAAGAAATAAACACAAATTTTTAAAGGGGAAAATAAAAAGGGGCAATAAAAAAAGCATCTAGTTTATTAGCGGAAAATAAATAGGAATATTCTATTGTGCAAAATATTTTACACCTTGTCTTTTTAGCATTTTATTTAGATGCATAATTCCATTACTTATTTTGGTTCTCGAAAAATGATATAGAGGATTTGAAACATTTGTTTTTAATTTCTAAACATTTTAAAATTAATATTTTGTTATTTTTATGTCAGAAAAGAAAAAGGATATTGGAAGAAATACGCAAAGAATATTCATTTGATTTTCTCATAACGAATATAATTAAAACACTGACAGTGTTTAGAAAATAATTAGAACCAATAAGCAAGCTATTATAGTCGTTATCATTTTTGGTTCTGCTCCATCTGTGTTATCTTTATCACATATCTTATTATCTTTTATTATTTTATAAGTTGCAAATGTGTCCTTTTCATAATTGTCTGGTACATGTATTGAATTTATACTTGAAAATCCAAATATTTCTTTCCCTATATTTGTTATTTCTTTTGTTCCTTCATATGATACACATGTTAATGTTATGCATGATTCAAATGCAAAATCATCAATTTCAGTAACAGAATCTGGAATGTTTATTGACGTTAATGATGTACAATGCCAAAATGCACTTTCACCAATTACTGTAACAGAAGGAGGGATAGAATATGATGTTCTTGAATTTCCAATTGGATATTGAATTAATAATGTCTTGTCTTTATTATATAATACTCCATCAAGAGATGAATATGATGGATTTGATGTGTCCACATCTATTGATGTTAATGACATACAATTATAAAAAGCATATTCACCAATTGTTGAAACACTATTTCCAATATTAACTTTTGTTAAAGATGTACAGGGTTCAAATGCATAGTCACCAATAGAAATGATGTTGTTGCTAATGTCAATAGATGATAATGACGTACATGAATAAAATGCAGAATTACCAATGGATGTAACTGAAGTGGAAATAGCAATTTTTGTTAAGAATTTACAATTTGAAAATGAATCCTCCCAATGTATGTAACTCCTTCTTCTATTATAATCTCTTCTATATTTTCGAACCCATCCTTTTCACAAATATAATTGATCGTTCATTTTCCCACTTCCACTTACAATTAATGTTACGCCATTCATTGTGCAATCGACATCTGTTCCACAGTCATAAGATTTAGAAAGCGTTAATGTAATAAACAAAAGCATAAACATTTAACTAATAAATGTATTAATGAATAATTTAATAATGTATTTATGATATTCATCATAAAATATCAATAATTTAATAAAATAATAAATTATATTTATTTCATTTTTAATTTAATTTTATATTAAATTAATTCAATCTTATTCTTTTATTTATTCATATTCTTTATCATTGTTTATATTTTCTTTGTTTATTTCATTATATTCTTTATTTTACTTCTTTATTCATTCATTCTTCTTTATTCTTTTGAATTTTATTCTTTCTTTTATTCATGTTTACTTTATTTCTTATTATCAATTTCTTTGTTTTTATTTAAATGAACCATAATGAAATTTAATTCATTTGATTTTTCTATTTTATTTCAAATAACTAAATACTGAATTAGTGTTATCGTTTTCTCAATTACATCACTACACATTCTGATGTTTCTTTATTAGTTTTGTTTTCTGTTATAATTCTACTGTTAAATTCAGTACTTTCACCATAAATAACTTCTCCACTATTCTTTACTTTCTTACATCTTATATATTTTGTTATTTTATATGTTGTATTATATTTTGTTTCTTCTATTTTTTCACGTTCTTCTTTTTCTTCATATTTAATTTCTTTATATTCACCACTTAATTTATTGATTTCTTCTTTATCAATTGGTTTTAATCGTCTTGCCCATTTGATTAATTTTATTATTTCTTCTTCTGTTCTTGTATTATCATCATCTTCATCTGGTTGTGAATCTACAAAAAACATTGGAATATCAATATTTTCATTTATTTTATTTGTTGTTTCATAAATTCAATCATTTCTTCTTTGAATCTCTCTTTCTCAATTTTATAGTTTTCAATTTTCTTTTGTGAATAACAGTTATAACATTTAGTCCATACAATACATACATGTTTCCAAATGTCTTTTAATGGGAAAATATCAGATATAACTTTAACAACTTGTTTAAGATTGGTAGAAAATCTTGCTACATTATAATTCATTGTTAATATAATTCCTTGTAATCCTGTAGCTTTAACACAATTGACAATATTTTGAATATTTTTATTATCAAATCCACTACTATCATTAAGACCATGAGTATCAACAACAAATACATCACTTCTATCTCCTTCTCCAAAGTACCCACCAGTGTATTTTGTAACTGTTTTATTACTATCACTTACTTTAAAAACATCATTTTTAAGAATAAAATTACCTAATGAACTTTTACCATCACCTGTTTCTCCAATTAAAAGTAATTTAATTTGTTTCAATCCTTCTATACTCATTCTTAATATTTAGATGTTTTGTTTAATTGAATTTCTAATTCTCAGTTGTTTTTGATAAAAGTTA